CCCAGCAACATAAAATGCTGGCACTGACCAGCGCACTAGCCAAACATTGGAGAGTTAGGACCTATTGAAGGTCAGGTTCAACCCTGGACAACAATTTGGATGCTGCCAGGCCAAACCTTAACTCAAACACACATAAGGGAATGGGGATGGGAAACTGAAAGAGCTTAGGACCCAAAGGGTCCAGTTTACATCCATGGACAATAACTTTGTATATTGCCATGTTTTTTAAACTATAGCTCAAACACATAGGGGGACATGGGGAATGGGATTTATTGCAAGACATAAGCAAGATATAAGCACATCATACAAAGGTTAAATTCTACAGGCAGTAAAGTAAGCATGGACAGGAGAATTGGTAAGTAAACACATTAGAGTTGATGCTGGAACTAAAACTAGGACATACCAGTTTCAGAAAGAGACAAGCAAAAGAAAGCAGAAGTCTTGCAAATAGGCCACAGTACAAGCAACAAGAAAGAATACTTTTTGAGTGTGAGTGTGAGTTCAGAAAACTACGAATGTTGGTGTGTTGTGTTAATAAAAGAGCATGTATTTATAGTTTGAAAACAGGCAAGGAATAAGGCAATGAAATAACCATGTACCAATTAGAATCAATCAGTAGAAGAACTTCCTTTAATTAAGGAGTTCAAACTTAAACGGTAATGAACAAAAGAGTATTTAAGGAAAGAGATCAAGTAAGCATCTTGTGCAAAGTAGGCAATTAGGGGTAGATACATATGAGTTTAATTAAGGGAAGAAATTTTGAAATACATGGTTAAACAAATAAGGTAAGAACCAATCAGTACCCAATAAATCAAGGAATCAGAGATTTGCAACTATTGGTTCATGAATAACCAAGTCAGAAAGGCTAAGAAAAAGGTTTTACTTAAGAAGAATCAGTAGCAATCAATTAACCCAAAAAAAAAGGATTCTGATTCGAACACAAGTTGGAAAACCTTTTGAAGAAAGATTTTAACACATATAAAAGGGGTTGTCATGCTAATCAGAGGAGTCTAGTATAGAAGAATTCATACACAAAAGGATTCAAACTCAGTACATGGACCCCAAGTGAGTTTGAGAGAGTCCAGGGCTCAAATAGAACCCTAGTCCAAACACACAAGACCATACTCGCCAAAAACCCCAAATCCTGGGGTTTTCAACTTGAATCAAATGCAAAGAAGAGGAAACAAGCAGCTACAGTAGAAGGTTTAATGCAAACAGAGTCGTGGAATTAATTCGAAACACAATGAGAGTAGAAGAAACAGTAGAGCAAAATATGCTTAAGCAGGCATAGTAAGAACACTTAATGAACATGGTAGAAAAATACAGTAGGCGAAGCATATCAAGTCGTAATGGAAGGCACGTAGCAGAGCATAGCATGTGAAAATATAGCACAGAAACATAGCATGTGAAAACATAGCACAGAAACATAGTAGAAGGAAGAAGAAAATATAGCAAACATAGTAGAAGAACGTGTGTAAAAAAAAACATAAGAACATGGTAGAGACAAACATACACGAGAAAGGGAGAAGAAAGATCGAAAAACACATAAGCATTTTTTTCAGAAACCTTAAATAAGAAAGAAGTGACTTTGGAAAAAGAATTTTACAAAGAAAAGTTGGGGAAACCTTTTAAAAACTCAAAGTAAAGCATGCATACACACAGATCTGAAGAGAATTGGAGAAAAACCTCGAACAGCTAGGGTTTCAGGTGAACCCTAGGACGAGAAAGGCTTCGAAAAATGTCCGATCTAAGTCGGATAAGACTGGAAACAAGCTCAGGAGTCTAAGATATGCCGGAGCCAAACCGGAGATGGCCGGAACCCTTAAGTCGGCGGAGATCTGGGTGGAGACCTTTGAGGTATAGCCTCAAACCTACAAATACCAAGCGCACAAGAGCGATAGGAGGTGAGTATAAGGGTTTTACGGCCTGAGAAGCCATGGAAACCGGCGAGAATCGAAGGGATTAGGGTTAGCTTGGGTGGCGGCGACTAGGGTTTGCAGAGAGAATGGGAGAGGAAGGGAATTCAAGGGCGGCGGGAAGAGGGAAATGAATTAGGGTTGGGGGGGTTTGGTAAATTAAAAAGGAAAGGGTGTATTTGGGCCGTTGATCTTTTAGATCAACGGCTGTGATTAGAAGGGGTTAGGTGGGAGATTGGATGGGTCGGTTCAAAACGGGTTGTTGGGCTAGATTAATTGGGTCTAAAATTGGGCTAATTTGGGGGTCCAATGTGGCTACAATTGAAATAAAATCTGGCTAGCACTTAATGGCCATTTCCCCCTTTTTTTTATTTTATAAAATAGTGAGAATGATTTTAAAAACAAATTAAAAGCACTTAAGTAACTAATAATGTATAAACATTAATCTAAAAATACTGGAAACGATTTTATATCATTATTGAAATGATATGATTAATGAAAAATGAACAACGTCTTGGTAAGACGGCCTAGCCGACTGGGCTGTGATCGGATGCCATGCCGCACACATGGTGGTATTGTGCTAATATTGAACTTGGAAAGTGAGAATGAGATTGTGATTGAGATACTTGTCTCAAGTGAGGCAACCTAGCCGATCGGGTCGTGATCGGATTTCGCGCAAGAAGCGGTGGTATTGTGAATGATGATTTACAGTATTAAATGCCCCAACCTAAAGCTATGGAAATTATGTGAAAGTTATATGATCCTTTATTTGATGATGTGGTGATCGTTTAAAGCTTTTGATTGATCCTTATGATTTCTTTGTTCTTGTATGATAGTTCTTTCTAATGAGATGGTGTTTAGTTATACATACTAGTACTATTCCATGGTACTAACGTCCCTTTTGCCGGGGGCGCTACATCTTTGAATAGATGTAGGTGGCTCCATAGCATACAGTGCCGATTGTAGGTAGCGGAGCATCCTCCACTCAACAACCTTGGTGAGCCCCTTTTCTTCCAGGGGTTATGCAGTATGTCTTTTGTTATAAATTTCCACTTTTGAGGTATAGCCGGGGCCTTGTTACCGGCATTATCATAACTATCTTTTGCATCTTTAGAGGCTCCTTAGACAAATTTGTGGGTTATGTACGGGTGATGGATGGGTCAATGAACTCTGATGTAATTCTAAACTCTTGTTCTTCTAAACTCTAACTGTATGAAATCTTGGAAACTTAACTATGGTTTAAATGTGGTAATATGAAATGAACTAGCAATGTTATATGTACGATCTTTCCTACTGTCTAAATAAGTTAATGAAAGCATGGTTTTCTTGGTCATAGTGAGTTGGGTAGAAAGTGTTCAAAAGGCTTGCTCAGTTGGGTTCACTCGATTGAGCGCCGGTCACGCCTCCCAATGTTGGGGCGTGACACAAAGACAAACAGAAATATCATTGGGCATCATGGTCAAAACTATCTTATCCTCTAAAGAAGGTGGTGTTGGTTTCCGAACAATCAAGGATACCTGCATGGCCATGGAATTCAAACAGTGGTGGCATTTCAGAACTGTGGACTCACTTTGGAGTTCCTTTCTGAAAGCCAAATACTGTCTGAGATCTCACCCCATATCCAAGAAATAGAAAAGGCTGAGTTTCAACAAAAAGGATGCTGAAACTGCAATTCAGTGGAGATTACATAATGGAAGCTGCAGCTTCTGGTGGGATAATTGGTTGGGATCAGGCCCTTTGGCCAATAACAGAACATGAGGAGGAAGACCAGGCAGAATCTCAGTTTCTCATTTCTGGAATGAGGGGCATTGGGACCTCCAAAGGCTTAATGAAACAGCCCCAGCTCATAAGATTCATGAGATCATGTAGATAGCCATCCACATCAATCTAGATCTCTCTCACAAACCAATCTGGATCCCTACTGTGAATGGTAAATTCACCTGTGCTATTGCTTGGGGTCTCATAAGGAACAAAAAATCACCCAACTTCACTAACAAGATGACATGGCACACAATGATCCCTTTCAAATGGTCAATTTGCCTTTGGAGAGCCCTAAGAAACAAATTACCCACTGATGATAGAGTGCTCCCCTTCAACAGTCCCACTGTTTCAAGATGTGTTTGTTGCTCCACGCATGCTCATGAAACAGTAGATCACCTCTTCAATTCTGGCAACTTTGCAAGAATCATTTGGAGGAAGTATAGAGGTCATGTAGGTGTCCACAATGAGAACCTGCCATTTAGAATGCTTCTGATAAAATGGTGGCTACAGAAGAGTCATAATGTGGCTCAAAAGCTTGTCTTAGACACCACCCCTACCACTATTTGCTGGAACTTGTGGAAAAATAGATACAGTGCCAAGTATGGGACAAAATCTTCCTCCTTAACCAGGGTCCTCTATTCAATCAACTCAGAGATCAACCTGATCCTAACAGCCAACTTCCCTGATGTCAACTGGCCCCTCAACTGGGGGATCTCTATCCTTACATTGAAACCTCCAGCAACAAACTATTTCTACCCAAGCTTGCTGGAACAAACCTGACAATGACTTTGTCAAGGTTAATTCTTATGGTAGTGTACTAACCAATCCTGGCAAGATAGGAGCTGGGGTTGTAATCAGAAATCACCAGGGGCAGTTCATTCATGCTATGGCTATAAGGGGAGGGCACCAACAACTATGCAGAAACTGAATCAGCAAGAATGGGTATTCAGTGGTGTTTTGCTAATGGATTCACCATAATCCACCTAGAAGCAGATTCAGCACTTTTGATCAAATGGTTGACTGAAGATAAAGATCCCCCGTAGACATTGAAAATAAAGGTATCACAATTGAAGGACATATGCACCCATTGTGTAGAGTTCAGAGCTTCTCATGTGTAAAGAGAAGCAAACAGTCCTGCTGATTCACTTTCAAAGCTCAGTCATGAATTCACCACATTGACTGAATTCCATGCTGCTTCTGCACTCCCAGCCCACATCAGAGGGCAAATCTTGCAAGACTACCTGGGTACTCTTGCTTTTAGGCACAAGAAAACCAGCAGAATCCTGGTACATTCACAACATGCAAGCTCTTCTGCCTCATCTCAGAGATATGGTTGATATTTCCTTAGAAATGGATGCCCATATGTCAGTCCAAATGAAGAACACAAGGCATCAATTGGGGCCAATTCTTGCCCATGCTAACCTCCTTTTCTTTTTTGCAGGTATCATCACCGTGGGACTGCAAAGCCCTTTGGCCTATCCTCAGAGTGTGGTTTAAAAGAAATATTGTTCAATCTCCTAAGGATTGACTAATGGACTGGAGCAGATCTTAACACACACACACCACTCAACTATGAACACAAAAAATCCAATACTACTTCCCACATCTATAGGCAAAAAGCCAGAAAAATAAAAAACAAATGCAATTCAAAAATGCATCACACATATCCTACTACTTTCTTACACATGCTACTAGAACCCACAAGAACCTAGGAGCAGAAACAGAAGCAAACCCCTCCCCCATGCAACACAAACACATGTCTGCAAAAAACAGAAACAGACATCTGGGCAGAAATGTCCTTTCTTCCTCTAACTCTGTTTTCTTTTTTGCAGGTTTCATTCATTCTTTGGTGCTCATTCAATTGATGTACTCACAGAGTGTGGTATTAGCATCCATGATGCTCATTCTTCTAGAAGTATATCAATTGAATGCAGCAACAGTTCCGGCTGCAGAACTCTAAACTTTCAGCACTTTCAGCAGTTCCAGATGTTGTTTCTGGGCCCCCAATCTTCTGCATACCAAGCATGTCACACTCACATACAAGGTCTCAAAAAAACACCATCAACATAACAATGGAAGCAGTAGTTACAAGTGCAACTATCCCTGCAATATCAGCATGACAGGATTTTAACTGCTGCAATTCTCTGCCCGGATGCAGCCACCCACCTAATATCAACCATCAGGGTTTCAACCCCCACAAAAACCCATCAAATGCTATACTCTAAACACACCACTTCCAACAAATCCCCATCAGTCTCAACCCAAATCCCTTTGTCCACAACCTAGTTCCCAAGCAGCTCCCAGAAAACACAAGAACCTGGGAGCAGAACTCCCATAAAATTGTCACACTCCACCCTTCTTGTTCTCAAACAACCCCAGTTTCTAACTGCTTTACGCCAATGCTCCCAGTACACACAAGAACCTAGGAGCAGCAACTTTTTTACTAACCTGTTTGCTTATTTTTGCAGGTACTAGGGATAGGTTCAAAATACTTAGGCAATTGCAAGGAGAGGTATTAGCATTTCATATGCTCAACCTCCTGCCATTGTGCCAGTCTTTTTGGGCCTGTCAAACCAAACCTGCTAGAAATTGCAGGAACCATCAGAAGTTCACCTTCAGCTTCAAACACACCAGTCCACATGCCATGAAAGCTCCACATGAAGCACCTCTGAAAGTAGGCAACGACAGCCTAAGCTATCAGCAGTTGCTACTTCAGCTTTCAACCTCAATGATGCAGGCCAAGTAAATCATCACCTGCGCAGACATCCAGCTTATCACCTCTAGGGATCCAGTATCCAGTTATGCAGCCACTTTTCACAAACACGGGATCATATACTGTGTTGAATCTGAGCAAAATAAGGCTAAGGTCAAAAACTTAGCAACATTGCAATACGCAGCTCCCATGCACCAACAACAGAGGATAACTCATTGTAGCAGCTCTTTTAGAAGTCACAAGTCACCTCCACAACCTGCAAACTTGAGGGAAATAAAAGCAGGACGATGCTCACTCTTTTTCTGTCAAGAATGCTAGCCAGAATCAGCACATAAGCCTATCATCTTGGGCCTTTTTTGTCAACTATATTCAACTTGGCTTTCTTTGACACCAATGTCAAAGCAAAGTTGAAGAGAGTTCCCTCGATAACTACATGTTTTTTGTCACACTTCTTAGGGATTTTCTGCACAATTCTAAGTGCAGATTTTGTTGTATATGGAAAATGACTTTCCAACTCACATCCTTAGTAGGTTTAGGATCTCTTGTGCCTTTTTGCATAGTTGACCTAGGTTTACTAAAATCTAATTTTGTACATCCAATTTACTATCACTGTTTGTTAGTCAATTGGAACATCATTATAGGTCTAACTCATCATAGCATTCTGGATTCATCTGGTTGTCATGTTTTCATCACCAGGTGTTCATGTACCATATTTTTGGAGGTCAGATCTATGCCCCCTCCTCTGTTGTACTTTACTTTCTACATATGAAAATCAGGTCTAGGCATAATGCGTAGTAGATTACTTTAAAAATAAAAAATAAAAAAGTCCTATTTTAAGAAGGAAACAATCTTGGCTTCTTCAAATCAATCTTGAGCTTCGTAGACTTCTTGCGCTTCTTGAAAATAAGTCCATATGTTTGGACTTGAGCTTTAAAACATTATCTTGGCCAAAATTAATAAAATTTAACATAGATTATTCTTTTACATCATTAAATTTGGGGTGAAAATTGGGGAAAAAGAGGAAGTGTTCTTGAGTTAGATTTTTGAGGTTTTGAATGGGATTTTGTTATCGGATTTGAGTAATTTGGTATGGTTAGACTCATGAGTGAATGGGCTTTTAGGTTTTGTGACTTTTGTCAGACTTCAATACGTGGGCCCAGGGGCCGGGTTCAAGTCAATTTCGGGTTTTTGGCTATAATTTAGCACTTTTCTTGTAGAATTGATTCCTTTAACCTATATTGATTGTATTGTACTACTTGTGGCTAGATTCGGGACGTTTGGAGACCGATTTTAGAGGCAAATACATTTTGGAGTAGATTTTGCTCGGATTGAGGTTAGTAATGCTTTCAAATTGGTTCCTAGGGTTTGAAACCCCAAATTATGTGTTATGTGATTGGTATTAAGGTGACACACATACCAAGTGACGGGCGTGCGGGCGTGCACCGTGATAATTGTGACCTGGTTGATTCCATGGCACTGTATAGTGCCTCTGTCTTGTTGATATCCATGTTTTCATGTCAATCATGCTAGATATCATGTTTAGAATTTATGCCGGTACTATTGGGACCCGTAGTGGTAGTTTCTTGCTGTCATCTCAGTGATTTTATTGATATTTTGTACTCAGTCATGTTCATGCATTTCATATCATATCTCAGTCTCAGTTGTTATTTATTGATATATCATATCATTGTTTCGGGCTAGTTTTTATGATATTGTGAGCCCGTGAGTGAGACTGGAGAGATTAATGACTGAGTGAGGCCGAGAGCCTGATTATGAGTGACAGTTATGGGATCGGGCTGCACGCCGCATCAGTTACACTGATTTGTGATAGCGCTTGGGCTGTAGGAGCCCCTCGGATTCTATAGACAGCCCCAGTGAGCGCGGTTGATATTATCGAGGGATGGATATACCTGAACAAGGATCTTGTCCGAAGTACTTGATACCTAGAGATGGATCTTCTCCATAGGGCTGGATTGGCCTTCCTCGGTACTGGATGATTGATGGTCGGTGATGTATATATTCCGGGATGGAATTTCCTTGGGCCGTATGGGCCATATACAGTACCGAGTGGTTGAGCATTTGAGGGTATGAGCACATGAGGCTGACAATATGGTGCATTACATACAGCATGTGCATTGTCATGTAGAGATAGAAGAGTTATGTTCTTTACATTGTTCGGATCTGCTCTATTTTACTGATTTGAGTTGTCTATTTAATTTGAAAGCATGCCTACGTTGCTATACAATTATTTCAATTTTATCTGTACCTGTTGAGTTCGTCACTACCTTTCAGTCCAAAGGTTGGACTTGTTGCTTATTGAGTTGGATGTACTCACGTTACTGCATGCACCTCGTGTGTAGATCCAAGCGTTTCTGGTCACGGCGGCGGCGACTGATTGA